AGTATCTAGCATCTACTATTATCTAGTATCTAATATCTACTACCTACTACCTACCACTTATCCCTAACCCGATTACCACTACTACTACTACTACTACTACTACTACTACTACTACTCCTGCTGCTGCTACTACTACCACTACTACTACTACTACTACTACTACTACTACTACTAGTACTGCTACTACTACTACTAGGACGACGACGACCGCGAGGACGACGACGACGAGGACGACTACTACTACTCATGCTGCTGCTGCTGCTACTACTACTACTACTACTACTACTACTACTACTGCTACGACGATCGCCACCACCACCCCGGCCACTGCGACTGCTGCTGCTGCTGCTGCTCCTGCGACACTCCCGCTGCCACTGCTATTGCTACTGCTACGGCCACTATTGCTAAGCACTGCTACGGCTGCTGCTGCCGCTGCTACTGCTACTGCTGCCATTACTAGCTACTGCTACTGACACTGCCACCGCTACTACTACTTCTACTGCTACATCTTCTTCTTTTGCTCATTATACTTCTGCTTCTGCTTCTACCACTACTTCTTTTCCTACCCGCTGCTATTACTATTACTAGTTACGACATTATCCGACTGCCTTGCCAACCTTGATTTCCGGCATACATGTGCCAAGCCGTTACCAGCATATTTCCGGAAGCTGCAATGCTGAGCCAGTTTCAGCTCAAGGTTTCATTCCGGCTGCGTGTTCACACCAGGAGACCTGCAAGTGAGTTTCGCGGAAAACACGAACGCCGCAGACTTAGCATCGACTACGTTATCACTGTGTTAACTCTGGTGATGGTGATATTCACTACCGCGAGTGGGGGATATGCTACAGCTGTTTCTTGTTGGAATAAACTAGCAGTAGCAGTTTCTTAACTCAGAAGGAGGGGGTGGAAGAGGCACGGTAAGTATTGTTCACCCAGCTTCACGAGCGACCTGTGTGGTCGTGTAATGAATTTCCGTGATGTTTGCCAGTCCTCATATTTCGAGGGCGTGTTGGGAATCGATTCTTGCAATGCCCCCTGGAGTCGGAATTGTCGGTGTGGTCGTGCGGTCACAGTCGCATGTCAGAGCCCTTCAGTTCCAAGCTTCCCTTGGCTCAGATCAGCGGCATGGCCTACATTGGTATCTTCATCACTGCTTTTGGCAACGAACAACAGACACCGAGCAGCGTGGCAATCGCTGAGACGATTCCTGCATGCACACCAACTTCATGTTTCCATCTGACCTGTGGTTTCTCAATCGCTCGAGGGCGTGCCATACAGTTTTGAGCCGCCTGCATCGTGCAACTTTTTCCGAACCACTTGCAGTCAGGATTTCGTCCGTGGGCTTCGTCTCCTTTCCTGACAGAGACCTGGACCGGTTGGAGATTGGAGGCACCTTGTCCTGGGGCCCGCCCTTTGACGTGACTTACAACCAGGCAGGAGCTACACGGGCTGCTTACCTTTTGGAGTGTGTCAGGATGTGTCGGGGCAGCTCTGGTATTTCTGGGCGTTTTGGTTCCGGCGCCGAAACATGCAGAAGGGTTTCTTCGAGGCAGAGGGTTCTGCAAGGCAGATTGGGGTGGGGTCAGTTTCCCTTCCTGAGTGTGGTTAGAGGTCCCATTCGGCCGTCATCAGAGGAAGAAGTGCTGCGCACTGTGACAGGACTACGTGGTGTACATGGCAACCAGCTCAGCTGGCGGCGGAAGATCTGCAACCCCGTTCGGCGCCATGCAAGCAGAAGGTGGTCCTTTCAACAGGGCGCAGTGTCAAACCGGAACTTCCTGACTTTGAAGCTCCTGCTGACCCAAACTGCCCCGAGCTCGCAGACTGCGATCCTCCATTCTGTTGTTTATGAGGCGTGGTGCCAGTTGGGACCAACTCTTTCTCTGTGCCAGTGGACACCATGTTCAACGACTACACGTGGCTTGGAAGCTGTCTGATGTGGGGCAATTCCGACTTCGGAGAGGAAAGGGCTACCACTGTCTCAGGTCCCTCTCTCCCTTGCCACCTCTGGCTTCCACTACGCCGTTGAAACTGGGTGTCCGTCAAGTAAACTAATCCAGCGCGCTGTATCCCATCCAAAGCATACCAAGACGCCTCCCGAAGTCGGTGTCTCAGCAGTGCGGGGCTGCGAGACCTGACGAGAAAGGAACCAGTACAGTCGCATGGCGAGTGTGTATATGATGCTCGCAAACCTCTAACCTCAGACTCTCAGACTGACCTAGATTTGTAGAGGAGTCTCCATGCTTTAGGCACGCGGGAGAGTGGAGTGCAATACTGCTTGGAAGCAATAGTGCTGGTTCTGTGATCTGAAAAGGAGTCCTGCACAATCAGGCGAACTTGCAAGAAGCAGCAGCCATGCACCGAAATGCCTGTATTACTTGCCTAGATGTGCGGAAATCGAACTGCATCACCTAAGATACCGGCAGCCGCTCCTCTGCCGAGGCATTGGGTTGTCTACACTCGGTCCGTCGCGTACGAGCAGACCACCCCAGTAGGTGCAATGCTTTTTGGGAACTGTTCTTCGTGAAGGCGCACGGTGGCACATGCACTGCCATGGTGCAGCTCAGGCATACAGATTCTGGACCAAGATGTTCTCGTCTCAGATCTGAGCTTCGGCCGCTTGGTCGCATGGACTGGTTCAAAGGCCTCGGCTTGAGACTTGTAGAAGCTCCAACATCAAGTCTATCTCTTCCCTTTCGCCCCTCGGACTTCTGAACCACAGTTGACTTCGACCTGGATCCCAACATGCTTGGAGGACTCCTGCTGAAGCACCAGCGTTTGGGTTTCTTGTTATGGGATGAGTTGGATGCGTGGGATTTTGTGACGGAGATGCAAAGGGCTGCCCACAGAGAGAGGGAGCCCACACCAAGGTCCCTCAGACATTGCGTCGCACGTGTTGGCTCCCCTCAAAAATCTTGGTGGCGTTGCCATCCCCTCGAGTACGGTATCCTCAGTGTAAGTGCAGCACGTATTGGCTGCACTGTCTTCTCGGCAACGAGGATGAGTTTCAATATGAATCCCAGTTGAAGCCGCAGGAAGCATTGAGTGGTCGATTCCGGCAGACACTTCTGCTGCTATGCAGTACAACATCTACTTCTCGCGGCGGGCTTACACGCAGACGGCCAAACCCAAGGCTCCCAAGAGGTAGTAGCCTCATCTACGCAAATGTGAAATCCTCTTTTCAGGTATGGAGCTGATTACAATGACTCCAGCATCCGAGATGTGTTTGTGTCCGGCCTGGCAACCACAGCGACTCAGCAAACAGTCCCAGCCGGAACGCCTGGAACTCAGACGCCTAGATATGCGCTCCTCTATGATGCTATGTTGCAGTATAGAAGTTATGTTTCTTCCACGGTTCCGTCTGCATGAAGACCTTGTTCGGAGTCATACAGAACGTTCTCGAAGTCCTGCCTTCAGGTCCAAGTTCAGCCAGGAGTTCATCGAGGAAGTGACCTGCAACTTCACGATTGCAGACACTGTCCGGGGTCCCAGGTGGTCCGTGCCGGAATCGTCCAACATTCAAAACCGCAGAATCCTAGCCTCATTCATGTCGTCAGGTGTTAAGCATCGTTTACAACGGAGTTGACATCACTCACACCGTGAACGGCACCCTGGCGGATTGGACGAGCACAAAGCGGCTCTCTTTCCGCAAGGCGGCTGCAAGGGCCTGGAAAGCCTCAACCGAGCCTGCTCTTACAGAGAGCTTTCTCTGTCAGATGTGCAAAGTCCAAAGCCTTTGCCTCATTCGCTCCCTGGAGGTGCCTGGGGCCTACCTGGTGATCGCCGGCAGCAGTGTGATCGATTCGAGTCACTCGGCAGCTTCCGTGCTAGGGCAGTCAGGCCTTTGAGTCTTCCTATCCTTGGTGGCATCGCTCTTCGTGCTCGTAACAGTCTTCTTGTGAACCCAAAAAGGAAAGCAGCACGCGACGAAAAAGCAAAAAGCAACTTCATCCTTCCGCTCATAAAGCCTACGAAGCTCACAGTGTCCAGCACTTGTGAGGTTGGTGCTCCCCTACTGAAGATGTTTGTATCGCCGGCAAGCACTCGGTGGGAGGCCAGTGTTTGCACAATTCGTCCACCAGTCGCCAGCGTCATGGGCATGGAGTGGGATTTGCAATGGTAAAATCTTTGCAGCTAGGTCGAGAGGAAAATTGTGTACAGTGAATCTGGACCCTCAGCCCGAGCCGAAGCACTGCGCCGGAATCGCGCCAGATTTTAACTTCTGCCTCTACGCTGGCTTCAGTATTCGCTGTTCCGATGGGCTGACGGGCGCAAGCGGTTGGGAGGCAATGCAAACGGCTTCACAGTTCCATCAGGGAAACATTGTGACAGTGCATGATGCGAAGGTGGGTTCGGCTTGAGAACATGGCTTCAAGGATGGACTCCGGACAGGGGTGCAAGCCTCTGTCTTCACACCAGGGAAAAACTTCTTGGAATTTCCCGAGATGAGGAAGGCAATCAGCGCCACGTAACTCTAGTCAGTCATGAGAGGCGTCGTTGCGTGGGCATAAGTAGACTCCAGACTTTGATCTACGAATCTACGTGTCGCAAGAATATAAAGCCCTCCGAAGCCTCGCCACGGTGGTCCGAAGCCCCTAACAGCTGAGGTCACAAGTTAAATTCACAGCAAACCTTTGCAGCCCCACTCCGGCATTGGCAGGCATTCGGCTCCAACACGGGTGTTGACGCCATGCACCAGGCAAAAGGAGCGGTCAAAAGACCTGAGAGGAGACGTTTCTCTGCACCTTCGAACAGCGAGCCAGTGGCCCACTGTGTCGCTGTGTTGACTGCTCCGCAATGCTCAACCTGCTCTCGTTTCTTGGTGCCTCTCGCTCCTCTCTCTCTCTCTCCCACTCTGTTCTGTTTCTTTCTATCTTTTTCGAGCCTTTTTCGTCTTGCTTTCTGTCACCCTCGCGGGGTCTCAACGCCCTTCCCTCCGGGAGAAAGCGCCCTGGTGAGAAAGCGCCTGCTGTTGTAGGCTGGCCTCGGCTCGGGATGGGTGCAAAGCCCGTGCATCTCCGAATCCGGATTCTACCTGCCGCTTGGTTTGACATTAGTCCTTGGGCTCCTGGGCGCAGCTTTGGTTTAAGACTCTTTTGGATGTAGCTTGCTTGTGTCAGTATTTCTCCCGGTTTGGATAGGTTCTCGGATATCACAACTTGAACTGAAGTAGGACCTGTTCGGGCGTTGAACGGTCCCTGTCCCTGAAGTAATAGCAGCAGCTGGAAGGTGTTTATTAAGAGGTTCTGCTATGACCTTTTGTGAGGGGCGATGTTTGGTTCAACAGCCCGGCCCACAGCTAAGACTGCTAAGACGGTTGGGGCTGAGGGCTGAAGCTTGGATGCTGGATGCTAATTTCGATGAGCGCGCTGATTCCAGGGTGGACGACGACGAAGGTGCCAAGATCTGGGCTGGTGGTGGGGAGCGCCACGCCGCCTTCAGACGCTTTGGATGAAGCCTCAAAGTGTCCTAAGTTGCGGGGTGTTTGTCACGAGGGCCTTGGCCGGCGTTGAGTTTCTGCGCCAATACCTTGGAACCATGTCGAAGAATACTCTTGCATTCCGCTCCGAGATGGCAGCACTTCGACCGGCATCGCTAGAATCACTAGAAATCAGGACCGTGCGAACTTAGCCACGGACGCTGGAAACCGAAGCTCTAGGCCCTTGCAGGTGATCTGGAAGCTGCTGCAGACGGAAACGAGTCGACAACAAAAGACCCGAGGATTTTCCCAAAGCTCGAAGAAGGCAAGAGATTCCGTATGTACTGAGTGACTAGAGAGGAAACTGAAGTTCGAAGGTTGTAGGGCGAGCAAGAAGGATAGGTAAGAAGCGAAAGATAGCTAAATCAAAAACAAGTAAAGGTATCAGTTAAATAACCAAGCAGCGCCCATCATTGCATGCATTGCCTTACGCTGTGTAGGCAGCCCTTTGCCCGAGCGCTTTTAGCTTTGTACCTTTACGCTTGTAGCTGTGGGTCTTGCTGGTCTCTTCCATTACAAAATCTACGATTGTTGCAACAATGGCCATGTTCAGAAGCACTACTACTAGCATTACCACTTAGTGTTGCCATCATCTGTTCTTGGCAGTACATCTCTTTCTTAACACAATGCCATGACATGATTGCTACAGGCATTTCCACTGTAACTGAACTTGCTGCTGTTGCCGCCTGGAGTACCGTTAACATGTGTCTGGCATGCTAGTTCGGGTACCGCGCCATTTGACCTACGGCTACGCATGTATAGACCTACTGTTCCTAGAATTCGGGTTGTCGGTACGATATTTCCACAGGCTCCATTGACACCACTTGTTTCTCTGAGGGCAGGCAGCACGTTTTCGACCTGTGTTTCATGCTTAACCAGTGACATTGGGTTTTCTTACATGCCTAGGCTATAGACATGATGGTGCTTGGCTGAGGCCGTGCTGTTGTGCTTGCGAGTACAGGTTGTTGTTAGTGTTACCTATGCGACAGTCGTTGAGTTGTCGATGGTTGTACAGTAATTGGTGTAGCCGTTATTGAGCTACCATCGCCACAAGCAGCTCCGTTGCTATGCTTGCTGTTCCGGTGAAATCTGCGACGTTGTTGCCGCATCAGTCGCTGTTACTGGCATCGTCAGTAGCAACCACCGTCACACTGTTATTTCGATTCTTCTGCATAAGACGAGTGCATCAGTACCGTTGTTTATGCACAGCTTCGGTTGGTTGACTTGGCGAAGACTTGAGGATGGCAAAGCATGCCCGTTGCACCCACAAGTGGCGCTCTCGGTCTTGTGATTTCGGTTCCCCTTGGCTGGGCTGAGCTTTCCGGGCCAATGCACGGGAACAGCTGCACAGTGTGGTTTGATGCATGCTGTCCAGTTCTGGTCAGGCAGTGCGTTGAGAGTGCATCCGCTGATGCGCTACTTGTAGTCCGGATATTCTCAGTGCTATGTTTGTGTGGCTTCCCAACCATGACGATTTGCGAGGCAACGAGACATACGGCTACATCATGCTCTTCGCAGAGTCTACCTTGGCTGAGCCGGGATGCTTGGTAACTGTTGAATAATCCTGCGTCCTTCAGCTCGAAGCGTCGAGTGCTGGACGAAAATCATTGAGACACGTGTTGAGTTCGGTACTGCTCAGGAGCCCTGTGATCCGGGGTGGGCTCGCACAAGCAAGGAGGGTTCGTGTTGGGGGCGCAATCACAGCTGCGTATAGGCTCTGAATCTTGAACAGTCCGGGGAAGAAACCTCAAACATTTTGCAAGTGTCGCCGCGACTGAAATGATGAGGACAAGATAGGACAAGAAGAAGCAACTCAATGGCAAGATCATCATCATCATCATCATCATCACCAACATCATCGATGATGCTGCTGCTGCTGATGATGATGGAGATGTGGCAGCCCTCATAGCAGCAGCAGTGGCACACCATATCAACAGTTAGACAGTTAGACTAGACGAGTATACGGAGAAGAACAAAAGTGTGCAACACAGCAAGCAAAAAAGTCAAGGAGAAAAAGAATGTCAGGAGCACTAACAACAAGAACAAGAAGAGAAATAAGCATGCGTAAAAGAAGAAACAAAAATGAGGATAAAAACAATAAGTTGCAAGTGAACGCTGCGCGAGCGTGCTCTGCGCGTGGCGGGCGTATTGCCAAACTTGCTTTCAAGTGAAACGGGGATAAGCTGACGCAGTAGTAACGAAGATGCACAAAGAATTGCATGGCAGCAACTGACGAGCCTAGAACTTGGAGCCTTGTCACGGAGGTGAAAAGTATGTATAACCTCCGCCACCTTCAGTGTGAGCCAACGCGTCCGATGCTCACGAACCAAAGCCGTGCTGGGTCGTACGGCTTTGGGGAACCTGATCCGAGCCGGGTCCCAGAGTGCCAGTCTATGGCGTCCCGCACTTTGTCATTCACCGGCAGTGGCGATTGGTCACTCACAGGCAGTGGCGATGGGCCGCAAGGCGAGCAATCGATGCTCAAATCATCATAGAGCCAGCATGTGCAGGTGTCAAGAAGCACCCGAAGGTACCTGGAGCAAGAGTGTCGACACTGGCCGAGGCGACACGAGAAGGCTGCAACAGTTTCGGAGCTGCTGAGGTTTCTGATTGGCCGGCGAAATGTGAGCATGCTCGAAGGCCTCTACAAAAACAAGCTCAAACGGTCAGCTTGCTGAAGCCGTCAAAAACGGTTGAGGCTGCTGAGAGCAGCGGGAATCGTCGCCAATTAAGTGTCCTGCTAGAAATCCGTGGGACCTGAATCATCAGGCTGTGCCTGTGAAGCTGGAGACTGCGCCATGTTATCAGCGCTTGTAGCTGTTGCGCTGACGGGACCATTAGTCATCATCATCTTCTTCCAGTTCCCAGTTCCAAGCACTGCTGTGATATTGGTGCCAATCCCAGGACTCCCAGTCCCAGTCATCCCCCTCTGCCCAGTCCTGATAGCCGGCCCAGGATTTGTCCTGTCGTGGGTCTTTGGAGGAAGACGCGGCTTCTTTACAGCGCGTGCCGCTGCTGAGAGGACCAAAACTGTCTGACCAGCTTTTGACGCTCGCCAACCATATCGAGTCTGGACGGGGCAGCAGCGTCATGTACTATCCGCAGGCCCACATCTGGGCTCTGACGTCTGAACATACGCGTGTAAAGGCCGGCTGACATTGCAGCGTGGTTGTAAAGCGTGACCACCGTGGAAGCAATGAGGTCATATGTGTTCCAGTGGCAGCGGAGCTCCGTGAAGTCCTTGTGCTCCCGCATCTTCTGGAACAAGGCGCCAATCAGACCATGCACTTTGGTGGGGGTCGTAAGCTCCAAAGCTTCCACGCCATCCACGCCGCCGCCGGCGCTGATTCTTTCGGCACTGCCTTGCCAGGCTTGATAGAAGTGATATGCTTTTCCAGTTGAGCCGCAAAGACTTTACGGTCATATTGAATGGGTGCCTTCAATTCTCCTGCTGGACTCAGCAGGAAGCCGTGCTCGTCCTTTAATTGCGCCTTAGTGGCTGGCATCCAAGGCCTCAGCTGCTTCAGAGTCTGATATGCAACATGCTGGTCGCCTGCTGCAATTGCAGCGTCCACCTCAGCGAGAAAGTCCGAGGCTCGATCCTTGCGGGCTTGCTTCACAGCCTGTCTGTGCTGAGCCACCAAAGACTCATGAGCCTCGACCTCCGCGAGAGTCGAGTGCGGGGTGGGCTTTCGACTTCGAAAGAGGCGCCTTGCTGCTGCGGTGTCCTGGCCTTCTATCTGTCCAGGAGTGCATTTGGGTGAAGAAGAGCTGGGTAGCCTGGGACAAAAGGAGGTTCCACTCTGCTGGCTGCATATCCTCGGCACCGCAGCCTGTAGGGCTTTGTCGTGAGGCAGAGTTGCCAGTGTCTGAAGGGCTGCACCTTAGCCAACACAGGCAAGTGTCCACCCGTTTTCCATTTGCCTAGAGGAAGTTTTGTGAGTGGACTCGTTCGCTTGGCCGTGCCACCTGCTGTTTGTTCCCAGTCAGGACGAAATCTATCTGCGTGCGCCGGCGTGAGCCCTGCGTGAATGTGCACGCAGGCGATGCTTGGCAGGTATTAAGTGCCACCAGTTGATGGGTTTGTCAGCTCCGGTTCTCTCGCCAGGCCGCGCCTCCTCTGGTGCAATGAGTTGTGTACCCACCAAGCGTAAGAGGCTGGTGACGCAGGAGTTGAAGTCTCCAGCTATCAGCAGCGTGTCCCTCTTGCGAGTCCGCTGTACCCGCGCTGTACCCCCTTTGCCAGGAGCTTAAGTACTGAGGCTCTGTCCGATCGGTTGGCCTGGACTAGCAAGAGACCAGACATGCTAATAGATCGCCATGACAGTAGTTCTGGCGCCGTCCCAGTCGAATCGGACTTCGAGCATCCGACCCTTAGCATGCTCCTGCCAACGGATACTCTGGGGATTGACAGCGGGAGAGAGCAGGATCATGACCCCATCAGCCTTAGTAGTCTTCCTCTTCTTCTTGAGCCACGCCCTCTTCACCTGCTTCCTATCTGGAGGTGTCTCAGGTGATGCAGAGGAGACGCAGTGCCAGCCTGCAACCGTAAACTCGGCCGTCTCCTTCCTGTGTGTTTCCTGTAACACTAGGACGTCAGAGGTCTGTTGAGCCTCAGTTTGCAACCAAGAGTTGACCTCTGACCACTGTTGCTGTCCGAGGTGCCCAGCGTTCCACGAAAGGAGGCGTAACTCCCTCCTCGCAGTTCCAGCCCGATGTCTGGGCTCGCTGTGCGATTGGCAAGTTTGAGTGGGAGGACAGTCGCCCGATCGTCTGACCTGGGTAGGCGTTATAAGTTGACCTCGGCAGGCACTGGCTGTTGCTCAGCAATAGCTGCGCGGCATGCTTGCTTGAATGACTTTTTCCTTAACTGAGAATAATTTGTGATGCATTGGCAGCAATGCCATCGGCTACTTTTGTCGCACTAACTGTCGTAGTCTGGAGTGTGACTTCTTCCACCGCGCGGAAGGTGGAAACCCTACCCTGCTCAGTAATCAATGTCTTGAACAGTGACTGAGCCCAGGAATTGGGACCTGGCAGACCAGACGGTCAGTGACTGCAGGAGTACATGGCGCGAAGATGGGACCAACCTGTACTGTTAAAAGGAGAGAGCCTGGTAAGGATCCAGAAAAGCAAGGTTGGCGCCCACTGCCTGTTCGAAACTCCAGCTACCTGCGCGGCCGTCTGATCCGTGGCGGCTAGCGCGCAACCACAACCACAGCCGCAACCGCAACGACAAACACCATCACAACAAACGCCACCACGACGACGACTCCGTTGAACTCTGCGGGCAGCCAATCAAAGCCATCACCACCACCACCCCCGGCGCCACTCCAACCAAAACCATTAGATCAACGACATTCATTGAAACAGCAATTGATACTGTAGAATTTGGGCACACAATTCCATAGGATCAACACTGGCAACGGCAGAAGCGATGCATCAGCTGAGCTACAGTGGCGACAGCGGTAACACATCATCAACATCAAGAGTTCCTCCCGACAGGCAGACGACTCCGGCGGTTCTTGCCATTGATGACGGCCTGGCTCTCTGTCGACAGTGTCTTATTTGTTGAGGATCTCCGAGCCTCCAGTCTTTAGGAGGTGAGCACTCCAGAGGGTTGGAATTAGGGCACAGGGCTTTCGAAGTTCGAAGCCGTGCGTCTTGGAACTTCGGAGCTCCAGCCCTGTTTCTTTGAGTTTACTCAAGACCTTTTTCGGAGGCGTGTCCAGCGTCACAGCCCTCAGGTTCGTCGACGAGGCACGATACACAGTTTGTCATTTCATGTTTTGAGATGGTATTGTGGGTATCTGGTTGTCGTCATCAGAAAAAGGCCGTTGTTAGATCTTGAAAGGAAGGGAAACCTAGAAACGAGGCTGGTGCCCTGTATTCGGTCCAATCAAAGCATGCAAGGGTGAAGGTCAAGCGCTGCATGAGGCAAATGTCAGGATGACACATTCGGTGCTCTACTGTCCGACGTGCCGCATATCGGAAGTTCATTCACGACTATTGTCAGTGCTGTTTTTCCGGTAGCTTATGTGTACATCTGTGGCATTGCAGTTTCACCGAACCCCTGCGATTTATAGAGCGCAGCACTTTCTTCAGCACTAGTTGTTTCCGATCCTGCGCAAACGGGTCAGAATGGAAGTGTGCGACGTTGGATGCTAAGCACAAATCGATACAGGGTTTCTTGGGGCATACATTGTCATGTTCGACATTCCTTCCGGTGTCCGAGCACATACATCATTGCACGAACCGTGCAACTCTTGAGTTCTTGAAGCGTTCGACATTCTGGTTGACGGCATGCGAAGGCAGCAACCAGAGTTTTCATCATCAGCAATGCCGTCGTCAACATGACACCGTATAGAATCTGCAAATTCAGACTGTACTCACCACATCTCGGCGACAAAATGATCCCCATGTTTCAGGACTTGTGCCCAGATCAGATGGGCGGAGAGGTTCGCTGGACTGGCGAGGGATATCTTCCTCGCGTGTCCTCCTACTCGGTTCCTTGGCGAAAGCGTGATTCATCTTCGCCCCGAGTCCCAAAGCGTGCCGCGAATGCCCAGAAATCTAGCCAGTGAAGGCACCACACAAACCAAACGCAAGATGCCAGGTCTACTTTGCTCTGGCTCCCAGCGGAATCGGCCGGTCTCTTCTGGGCCAGGGATTGATTGGCACCACGAGCTTGATCATCCCTCAGGCAAGCTTGCACCTTAATGCAGTGATCATCACAGCTTCGTCCCGTGCACATAGATTCTGAAAGATGCTCGCTGTCCAGAATACCTCAGTACCCGAAACCACAAAGGCTTTATCTTTAACCCAGAAACATGTTGCTTCAGTCGTGTGTCCGGGGCAGTAGACGCATCAGCCTGGATGATTATATTATGCTTTCTCGGTACACGCTTTGTTGGTGCGGCCCACGACGCTCCATTTGTATACTGGATCGTACATCAAAGTTTGCACAAAAAGCAGTTCCCCATTATCCTGCACCGCCGACCATAGACCGCCTCACGGGCACTCAGTCCAAAGAGACCTCCACGCCAGCTGGCGTGAACTCCCCTTACGCGTTCAGCCCACACTTCCGCCTCACAGGCCACTCTACTGCAACAAAACTTTACAGACGTCGTCATCTACATTGAGCTCCGATCTCAGAAACAGGTTTCGCTTGTGTCCATCTATCGGTTGTTGTTTGCCCTGCCGGTAGTGTTCTCTGAAGTCGGAGTCTTTCAGACTCGCAACTGGCATGCGAGCTTTCCAAAAACACATTCAACTTTGTTTGATTCGAATTAATTTTCGATGTACGTCCATGTTGTGGCGCAAGCTTTCGCAACGGTGGCCAACAAGCGTCGCTCAAGGTCATCTCTGGTTCAGCAGCGCAGTCCTGCAATGAGCATTCCCTTGGTGGTGCCAGCCTGAGCGCACCTGTCGGCATCACTCGACATCACGTCTACAGACTGCGGCATGCAGCCTTGTTGTCATGGGAAGACAGAGCCGCAGGGCGTACTGCCGCATAATGCTGTTTCAGAGGAAGCCATCGGGCTTTAGAGAAAGCGGCATTGTGCAGCCATCAGTATCAAGTCTCTGCAACTACTCTTCTGACGAGGACGATTTCGAGGCCTCGTGCGAGTCGGTGTGCGCTGCAGGGGGCGCTGTGCTGGGACCCAAGTGGACAGTATCGGCCTCCGAACTGTGGCGTCTGCACGATCAGTCCAAATTTTGTTCTGCAAGGACCATAGGCGACACATGCTCCCCGCTGCAAGGCCAAGATCTCTGAGTACAGGAATTCCAGATGTTTGCGGGGTGAGAAAGCATTCCCAGGGCCGTGCTGGAGCGTCGCATGAGTCGCAGACCCATCGAAGACCCCTCCAGTCGAAGACTTCAAGCAGTGTCCATTTCCAAGCGCTGTGGTGACCACAGCCAGGGCCTCTCGCCTGTCGCAGGCGTCATTACAGGTGGTGCAAGCATCCAGCCCGAGCAGGAGTCCGTCACTGACCTGACGCCCCCGCGCCGGGCACCTAGGCAAGCTGACCCCGAAGTCTCAGAAGCCAAAATCGAGGGCTAATGCGTTAACATCCCGAGCTAGGGAAGATGCGGGCGATTAGGGAAGCATATATCCCCGTGCGGTTTGTTGCGGGGGTCTGAGATCTCACAAAGCTCTGCAGCCCTACGCGGGCCGCCGGTTGCTCTTGCAATTGCAATGGGCCCGTTCGCCAAGGCCTCTCCACCATTGTCGCCCAAGCACCGGGCAACATGGTCTTCATCTCCTCAGAGGTGCAATCGTACCCATGTCTGTGCTCCTCCATAGCAGCGCTTAGCATTAATGCTGGTCGGTGACTGTCTTGTTGACATGTGGACTGGACGGCGGGCCCGGGCAGGCAGCCGAAGGCACTTCAAAAACAGTTTTAGATGTTTCAGTTGAAGTTTATGTTGTAGTTTCCGTCTTTTGAAGTGTCTGTATGTGTATGTGTGTGCTGTACACGTGCATATGTTATGCAATGTTATGCCAGAATAGATTCCCAACCAGTGAAAGAGCACCACGGCCACCATCATGACCACGACCACGAGGACCACCACGACAACCAAGTAGACCCCCACGAGAAAGCCAAAACACTTCCCTCCAGTTTTGGCGCATTCCGGATTACGCCCGAAAGCTTTCCCACAAATACCCACGAGCAATCGGGAGCTGCAAGTACGAAGCATTGCGAAACACGACGCATAGATTTGTCTCAATTTTGGCGTGCACGAAGTACGGACAAATCACTCAGTTCTATAACGCAAGCACCCTTTATAGTGTTTATTACCACAGCGTTGGGCCGCAAAATCCGGGGTGCTTGAGAGAGCCTCTCAAGGGTTTGGCATGGCGGCTTCTTCAACGCCTCTGACGGGGGCTGTCCAAATTTTCGCACGTTGGAAAAGTGGGCGGCCCCGCCCAACCCTCGCATGTATAGAAACTATTTATATAAGTAACGCTTTTGTGTTATCTGTTCACATGGTTTGAATGTTCGTAGATTAGGGATTTTCGCAGTGATGATCAACGATTGTGTGACGGCTCATGTCGGCAATGAGCAGTTGAAGAACACTCCAAGCGCACTCGAGCTCGAAAATTTTCCAAGAGCACGAGGAGGTCTTCACGAAAGCCAGATAAAACCGTGCTGAGACTGCTGGTATCGTATCCTTTGGACCGTGCTTTCGGTGTGTCCAATGTGTTTCATGCACGCAGTATGTTTGAGACGTTAATCCCGTTTGTTCGAAGCAGAACGCATTCTGGCAACAGATTAATCATGAGCCCTTGCGGAGCTATACTCGGCGTATTCGTAGCTGTCGTACGCAGCATGATCATGTTGTTCGTTGTTTGTTCAGATTGCCACTGTTATATAAGAGTGTTGAATAGGTGTTGGACTTTTCTTGGTCATTGTGTTTTGATTTTCACTGCCGTGTGTCGTGTGTACATGAGGGTAGCTGTTCTTATGCCATTGCTGCTAGCATGCTCACCGCCAGGAGAACGAGGCGGACAACACCAAGAAGACCTTCATGGTCATGGAAGGAATCAGCCCAGTCAATCTGGTGAGTTTACTTCGGAAGTTGTCGATTCCGCGCGACTTCGATGTTCTGAGCATGCCACAAGTCGACAACGTCGACTTGCCGATGTTGGACACCCTTCTGCACGGCACAAACTCTCCCGGATTTATGCTGGCTGAAGTGACTGACGAGATCCCGCCTCCATTGCAGGTTGACTTCGGAATGTAACCCACGGCGCGCGTGGAAAAATTTCAAGTCGGCCTCGCAAAGTTGTCCTTAGCCGTATATAGGCTGAAGCCGCTGCCTGATATATCTTTGGATTGTGGAGCTCTAGACTTGATTACGGGCTCTACAAGTTTGCTATCCCCTTCGTTAGCCTGTGTAAATATGTTGTAAAAGGAAGCCTTCACCTGGTGACCTGCAGGCCGTGGTGCGATCTGGGGAAAACAAGACCCCGCAATCCCCAAATCCAGGCTGCCACGCCACGAGAGGGGTCAGAGGGAGGGGGACGAAACTCCGAAGCTCGAAGACCCCAGCCGAGCCACAGGGGGGGAGCGGGATGACCAAATGAGGGATACCATTGCGGGGTGGAGGGGTGGAGGGTGGGCCCGCCGGGGCGCAACCATATATATATATATATATGTGTAGGTATGTATGTACGTATGTATGTATGTATGTGTATACACATAGAACATTATATATATATATGTGTATATATATATATATATGCTACCCCCCCCTCTGGTACCCAGGTTTTCGTCTTTATGCTGATGTTTTGCTTAAGTGGGCCGAGGGAAGGGGCATTTCGCAAAGATGAGTCAGCCATGAATTATGGATGTTGTGTCAAAGTTCTCTGCTGGAAGCGACGTTTATGTTTGCCTGAGCATCACGAGCAAGCACGGAAGAATCGGACAGAAAAAGAAGCGAGTGCACGTGCGCACAAAAAAGCAAGCAATGGCATAGGAAAAACCGTTTTGTCAACGATGAGCGAGTGCGGGTATGGCGAAGCGGGCCTTCCGAAGCTCACGAAAACAAAAAACCTTTTGCACGGCATGGGATCTTACCGTAACATCCGCGTGACCACCCACGCAGATTTCGTATCCAGGTGGATGGTGATGGTGACTATGTTTAGTTGGATGCCGTTATAGTTTGTAGACACACACGTTCATTGAACGTCGGTTTGTTTCTACACAGCAGTGTGAGTGTTGTTGGTGGGTTTTGCAGTCTGGTACACGACTTAATCAGTGAGTTCACTGCTTAAAATAATCATTCACGGAATAAGCCGTAGTGTGAGATGGTGTCATTCTACCTGTTAAAATGTTTAGTCTTCGCACCATGCACTGCACAATGATTCATGCGTATCTGTCAAATTAGCAGTCAATAGCAACAATGGTAGCAGTTCGTGACCCGCTTTGATACGTGTAAGTTTAGGTATTTTTGCTTGAAGTGTAGTCTTCATTGCCTCGGGAATCCGATTCTCCGTTGCTGTTCTGAGCCATGTCTAAACTGCTACACAGTCTGTTGTTCTATGTCGAACTCAAACAAATCAAGTGTGGCTTTAGTATTTCGTTTAGCAATGTTGTTATCACATGTTGTAACCATTACCGTAGATCCTGTTACTGTAGTTATTATAGTACTTCAGCAATACTAGCCGTTACTAGCCGGGTTAGCCATGTACCCGGTTTCTGACCATTTCTAAATCAAGATTCACTGTCAACTACTGTTGTGATTTGTCATTCAGAACACTTCGTATATTTTTCAGAAACTTTGCTTAATAATACCACGCGTTATATACAAAGTAAATGTACAACTTGCTGCGTCCTGTGTTTATACATTTTCATAAATATAAACCTACAAATAGATACCTGTTGAATATTCACACCTTTGCTTATGAGACCTCTTGGTAGGATGATGGTTAATCAAGTAACACGTTTGCTTGTTTCGAAACTGTTGGGAACGGACTGTTACACGTAGTGCTCCAAGTCAAACATAATACAACATGCAGTGGCTGCGCATTACAGTGTAGGTTCTTTGTCCCATTGTTTATTAGTCGACGTTGCTAGCTTCCCTTAAGGTCCAGTTCATTTCGACATGTTTAGTTTTAGTTTATTTCATCTTAACTTCGTGCATAATCTAAGTCCTGTGCATTTATTGGTCGGGCTAGGATTCGTAAACATTTCAAAACATGTTTCGAAATTCTGCACCTACCAAATGATGACCATTTGATGTTGTATGACAGAATTCTGGTGCAAATGCTAGTCTTTGAGGGAGGGCGTCTTTTAAGCAAATAAAGCCACACCAAACGCAACGACTAAAGCCCCCGATGCAAACACCGCGAAAGATATGACGTAAGTAAAAACCCTATACATGTATCTTAGGAAGTGTGTGGTTAAACCAGCATAAGCATGTTCGTACAGCAATAGTCTTCTTATAGTAAAATCTCGAACCGTAGACATGATGGTCGCACAGTAACGTCTTCAAGCAAAGATTATTTCCTAGTTTCGTGTTGGACAAACTACTGAGTTTAATCAAGGATGCGCATACCTTACCGGCCCAT